CGGGTAACACTAAAGTTTAATTGGTGGCTGGAGTGGGATAGTTTTGTGAAGAATTGGGAAGAAGTTGATGTTTGGAGTTATACTATGTTTTATCGCTGTGGAGATGTCATCAATTGTCAACATGAATAGACTTGATAACTTGAGTCTTGGAGAGTTGGAGGCTGCTATTGCAGAACTTACGGATTCGTATAACAGCGACATTGCAACGCTTGGGAGGATGTTATCCCAAACAAGGGTTGATGCTGTTCCTCCATCATTCATGAGTCAGAGATCGACAGTTCCTGTTAATTCACCATCTTTATTTTCTGACATGAGCAGATCTCCTGTTCAATGTCAGAATCAAAGTCAATCCAGTGTTCGTTTCAGTTCATCTACTTCAGGTTTGGAGAGAGCTGCAGATTATTACAGAGATTCGAATCCTGTTAGAACAAGGACGTCTACGCCAGTAGATACTCAACGACAGAGAGATAATATGTATGGACCTGTGTCTAATATCTCAACCTTAGCCAGTGGTTCCAGTCGCTGTTCTCCAGAATCTAACAGAAGGGCCAGAAAAGCAGACAGTCAAATGTTTGGATTTGACAGAGCTCAGACAGCCGATGCTAGACCATTACAAAGGTTGGCTAAGCCTATCGCGATGCCTCCTAAGTATAATGGTGAAACACGATTGAATGATTATTTGGTTCAATTTGAAGTCACTGCAGAGATCAACTCATGGAGTGAAGGTGATAAAGCGAGATTTTTGGCGATTAGTCTTACAGGTAAGGCAAGTGATATATTTGGTACGTTGAAACCAACTGATGTTCTTAACTACCATTGTTTGGTAGAAGCTTTAAAGCAGAAATTTGATCCTCCGGAGTTAGCAGAGATGCACAAGGTACAGTTACGAGAACGACGAAGAAGGAACAATGAAAGTTTGTCGGAGTTTGCTCAAGCTGTCCACCGCCTGGTGTATTCTGCTTATCCCAGAAGTAGTGAAATAACGAAAGAAGAGATGGCTAAAAACCATCTTATCCAGTATTTTGGAGATAGCCAGATGAGAATGCTTGTAAGCCAAGCACGTCCCCGAGATTTGAATGCCGCACTACACCATGCTATGGAGTTAGAGGCCATCAAACATTCAGATCCCGATGTACGCTCCACTCATGTAGCTAATGCAAAACCCAAGTCTGGAAAGAAGGCAGAATCTGAGAGTTCTGAACTGCATAAAATGATAGCAAGTTTGAAAGAAGAATTAAAAGAAGTGAAAGAGAAGTTACGAGAGTCAGAAAATAAGATTTCAGATAGGAAAAGAAGAGACCTGTCTGAAGTAACATGCTTTAATTGTCTAGAGTTAGGGCATTATTCTACGACATGTCCCTCACCTCGCAAGAGTCCCCCTGTTGGCTCTTGGCGAGATGGGAGGGTACCATTTCAGCAGACTAATCAGAGAGATACACCTGCTGTACCAGTTCCCATGCCAGCACCTTCAAGGTCACATCATTCTAGCTTAGACAGAACTGTTGGTGTTGTGATCCCTTCCAGTTCCGGTATTTTTGTTGAAGGCAAAGTAGAGGGGCTGGACACAGAATTTTTAGTTGATACAGGTGCTAGCCTGTCGATGATTTCAGAAGATTTTTATGATTCGTTTGAAGAGAAAACCGAGTTGCGTCCGGTTAATTGTAAGCTGTTACAGGCTGATGGCTCGCCTTTAAACGTTAAGGGTCGTGCATCTCTTAAGATCGAAGTTACCGATAAGAGTTTTGTTTTCCCATTTGCAGTTGTGACCATGCCAACAAAGGCTATTCTTGGTCTAGATTTTGCAAAAGAGGAAAATGTTATTATTAATGTTCCTTTGTCAGAGATTTATGTTGGTGGTCAGGTGATCCCATGTCAGACTAAGGGTGGAATTGGTGTATGTCGTGTTATCCCCGAATCGGGTACCGAAAAGGATGATTTGGTTCGTGGTTCTTTGATTGATACTTTGCTTAAATCTTGTAAGGAAAGCCTAACAAGTCAGCAGTATAATATTACAGTGACTACTTTGTCCAGGCATATAAAGGCTTTTGCGGTTGATAGTGATGACGTTGGTAGAACGGAACTTATGTCTCCTTGTATAGAAATTGGGAGTCATCCACCGATTTGCCAACCATCCAAATTACCGCCAGATGTTTTGTCTTACAATTATCATTGTCATTTTATTGATTGTAAAGAGAGGTTTCGCTCAAAATATTTCTGGAGAAGACATCTAGCTACACATTTGCCGAAGAACGACAATACAGATGATATATATGCTAAGCTTGTCATGGATGAAGTTGCAAAGTCTCAAGGTAATACTTCAAAATCTACACTGAAGACTGTTCCGGTAGCAACAGTAACAAGTAATTCTGTTGGTTCTAGTCCAGCTAGTGTTGTGGATTCGGAGGCTACCAAACGTTTTGTTTGTCAAATTTCTCAGCAGCCCGAATCGACTTTGTCGAACGAAGAGAAGACTGTTGATCTTGAAGTACCTGTTGATATGTCTTTTAGCCCTAAAGAATCTGTTGCAGTTTCGTTAAGTCCAAAGAAACTGCCTACAATATCTTTGAGTCCCAGGAAGGATAAGTCACCTATGAAATCTGATGCAAGGCCTAAAACTTCCGATGTATCAACATCTCCCCCACCCTTATGGCCCATTGCTATGTCTAACTCAGATGAGCCATTGGGATTTACAATTAAAGAATCCATACACAAAACATCAGAGGCTGCTGGAAAAGAACGCCTTTACCGACTTATACCTAGATGGGGACAGGAAGTTGCAGACTTTGATGGTAACGGGAAACTGAAGGGTTTCAGGACAACGCTACAATCTTTGTATTGGCCCGTCGATGAAGCTCCCCCACCGCCCTTGGAAAAATTAGAAGAAAAGAGATAACGAAAAGTGAACTTTAAGTAATGTTTGCGAGTTTAATCGACAATTATCGTGTTGAACTGATCGTGGTTCATAGTGATATAAAAGTGTGTTGACTGTATACGTTATTTGTATTTGTGTTGTGATGAATATATATATCGCGGGAACAAATCAGTGATTTTCAACTCTAATGACTGTGTTAATTCTTTAAACTGTGATTTTATAGATCATCAGTGTGAACTGATTTCGCGAAAACATCGCGTTTGCGAGCTGAAATTTGGACAATATGTCGCGTGTTGGAGTAAAAGTGACTTGAACTGTGATTTAATGATTTGACATTTTGAACTTTATAAGTTTATTCCAGTTATCATTGTTTTGAAATGTTTAATTTGTTCATTATAATTACTATTTCGATCGAGGACGATCGATTTTCGGAGTCGTGGGTAGTGTAGCCGTAGCTATCTTAATTATTTGTATTTCGTTTTCCGGAAAAGCGCTCCGTAGTTCTATATTTAGACTATGGGTGTAAGTTTTGGTGCCTATCGCTACTCTAGTAAAATCTATCGTTTTCTCGGCACAGTCATCGCCTGTTTAATATTTTGATATTTTTATATTGTGTAAGAGTATATATTTCTAATTGAGCATGCTGCCTATGTTTTTATTATTGTTAATTGTGTCTGCCGACTGTATTTTCAAGCAAGAACTTTACTATGTATTTATATGTATTTTCACTTAGTTTGTTATAATATTTAGTGGGCAGATTTTGTAAGTAAATATTTTTGATGGGATATTAACATCCTGGCTCAAGAAGTGTTTTGAGAAAGTATAATTAACGAAGTGTTTTATTTAGCCTTTGCGTCTTTGACTGGATAGTAATATCCTGGCTCAAGAAGTGTTTCAAGAAAGTGTTTTTTTAACAGTGTTTGATCGAACTGTTTTTATGTATATTTAGCCTTTTCGTCTTGAAAACTGGATATTATTATCCTGGCTCAAGGAAGTGTTTTGACAGCGTTTGAACACAGTGTTTTATTTATATTTAGTCTTTATGTCTGGTAGTAGAAAGTGTTTTTAGAAGTGTTTTGTAAGTAATTATTAATATTACATAGTTAGAGACGACCACAAATCGTCCCGAAGTCACGTAATTTCGGATACCCGAATTTGACCTTGCTATCCCCAACCGAAAATTATATGTATCATATATGTTTCTAATTTTTATTAAAACCTTTATAAGTTCCTGTTGTTTTAGTGTCGATTAATTTATTAGACTAACAGTGTGCGGGTAACAATTAATCTTGGATTTCCTGGCAGGCTGAAAGTGTCTTAAACATTGTTAAATAAAAACGTTTTAAAATTTGTCGTATTGATTAATTAAAAGAACATTTCATTATTAAATGTTTTGTTTTCATGAAATACTCCTAAATAATAAAGATCTTAATAAAGTAGTCCTACAACAAAGAACGGTTAACACAGACATGTAAAATTTTAATTTTATTTCAAACACATTTTTAAAATGTTGATTTAATCTTTTACTTTACAAATATAATATAAAGTTTCCATACATTTCAATTAACGCAACATGCCATTATTAATTACCGTATTAAGTCGTAAAGTCCAAATCCATAAAACCCACATTATAAATATAGCAACAAACACATAGAACAGACGATATGGTCTAAGACTAGTAATTATTTCCCTGCGAGTTATAAATAGACAATTTTTCCCTTAATTTTTTTCTCCCCTCTTCCTGCATTTTTGGGTTGACTTTTTGGTCTAGAATTGGAGAAAAGGGATCAAATTTGCAATTTCATAGCAGTTTTGGGTAATACTGATGATATTACAGCGGAGGGATAGGGGGTGTAAAGTGTCTTTCTGCAGAGCAATCATTGTGTCGGAAGTGAGATTTTCACCCCAGTCAACTTCAAATCCGTGTAGCAAAAAACCTAAATGGTCAACCCCCTACAAAATTATGATGAGGAGATTGCCAAATGTTGTCCCCATTGTGCCTATAAAGATTGGAACCAACGGAATGTTGAGAAAAAAGCTACAGCCTGTGATGTTACAGCCATTTAACATTGAAGTCAATGGGCAAATAATTGCTAGTCTGAGTCCATATAATACAGCCAGTCACGTGATGCGCACTCCTCTTCTGCTCAATTGTACTTTGCAACTCGGCCATGCTTAGTGCACATTTGCGAAAGTTTCTCGTGATTGATATTGTTAAGTTTTACTAAAATTAAGAATATTTAGTTCAGTGTAAATAATATGTTATGTTTATAAATAAAAAACTTATCCCAGAGCAGCTCATACGATGTGTTTTCATAAGGAGTCATGGAGACAATATGCATATAAACTCAAAAGATTGCGTTCAATTTTGTATGAAGGGCTTGGCCTGAAGTTTAGTTTTAGTAATAGTAGGTCATGTAGAACCGTGGTTTCAACCCCAAATGCGAGAAAGGGACATGCAATGAAATTTGTTAACTTGGGGAGTGACATTGCACCAATCTTTCAACCAAAACGTGCCTTGATTTTAACAAAAATGACAAGATATGAATATGAGAAAAAAAAGTGCCAATCTCGAGGGGCACTGGAAGAACAGGACCTCAAAAACTATGTAAGTACGGTAACTATGTTATGTTAGTAAGGCCGTTTCGATGTGGGTAGCATGATTTTCTCTAAATCCATAATTTAAATTATTAATCTGAATGACAACCCAATGACAAGCAAGGAATGTGGTCATATTTATAGCGATGCCAACGAGTTTTGAAATACACAAAATGTCTCTAAAATGACCATTTCCCTGCAAAGTGCAAGTGTCAACTATTTTGATTTAATAATCTGTAAGAATTTTGAAAAAATATTGAAAATTAAAAAAGTTATGACATTTTTAAGATCGCGAATTGGAGACACTAAATTACAGCATTTTTTAAAAAGGCAAAAAAACTGACCGAAGCTAATATCTCAGAGATAATATTAAAAGGTAGATCTATAGGCTAGTATGAAACTTGCAGAAATTGAAGTTCAAGATATACCTGATCGAAACAAATTATCCCGATACAGACTCTCAAAGTTACGACCGAGACCATTTTCGTTCAAGGTCACATCAAAAAATTGACATAACGGTTATTAACCATGGCAACCACGTAGAAATCCCAGAACTTTGAAATCTTTACCCAATCTGTTTCTTGGTGTAATGAATAGGCTACACACAGAATGTTTTCATATTGTTATCTTGTTTATTTATTTCGTGACAGCTACTTTAAATGTCAAGGTAAAACAGGGAGGTAACGGTACACTGCTGAAAAGAGGTTATGAAATTTTCAGTCTTGTATATATAGATGGTGACACGTTAATAATAAATAAAATACATAGACACACTTAATAGTGTTCATTTTGTAGGTGACAGCTAATCAGTTGCCAAAGAATAGTTGTTTCAGAAATGGAAAACAACAATTACTATATGCCCAATAAAAATATACTTATTTCAGTTACGGTAACACAAGCAATAACACTTAAAATCTACAAAAAAGCATGGAGTGAGGGGGTGGGGGTGGGCAAGAATATTGGTGCTTGTTTCAATGCCTGAAAAAAAAAAATTGTCTGGTACAAAAACAATTTATTCCCATTCCTCTTCAGATTATTGTTATTTCTGGAGTTACAATAAAGAGTGCTGCATTGAATAAAGACAGTTTGATTATATTCTAAGTACAGATTGAAATACTTTCTGGGGATATAATTTTCTCAGAAATAATTTGTAACCAAAATTAAAAATAAAAATATTGATATCGACATTATGCAAAAATCATCTAAATTCTTCAAACTTATGTCAAATAGGCCTAAATAAGAATGAAAAGGTAGACGAAAAATGCATTGTGGTCTGATCCCAGATATGGTCCTACAAAGAGTTGTCTTTTCTTGACTCCTCCCGGTTCCACTTTCTGCCGTATTACAGATTCCTACAGGGGATTTTGACTTAAACGGTCAAACTACATGTAAGTAGTTAATGAAATGGGTCTTCCAAATATACCAAAATCTTGAGCGTTGAGGGCCTTTTTCGAAAACTTCTATTAACTTCAAAACTTCAATAAACGAAAAATATCAGAAAATCTTACCTGAGCGCCATAAAATTCTGCTTGACACCTAGTTCATGTATTTTTCTCTATAGAAAACAACACGTGGTCAATGTTTGACACTGAATATTCATGAGAAGGTGTAACACTACGTATACTTTTCTCGGTCAGCTTTTTGTGATGTCTGAAAATAGTACACCCAGCGCCTCTAGCGGCGTTTAGCATCGCTAGTCATAACAGCCTTAAGTTATACTATAGTATAACGGCCAAAATCCATTTTTGTCAAAATAACCCTACTTTGGTCATATCACTCAGCAGCCAGTTAGTCATATCGGTCAAACAGTTTGGTCATAATGGCCAAACAATATTAATTTTGGCTTCACCAGAATTATAAATGATCATTAGACGACTGTTTGCGCATATTTGCGCATATCGGATCATAACTTTCTGAATTATGGCCCCTGATTGTATTAAAAATCACATTTTTAGCTTGTGGTTCCTCTAGAGGTCACAATTTCTTTCCGATTTAAAAAAACGTTTTAATATATCACCGTTACACCCTAATGATGGTTGAGTTTGAAATTCGTGAAAATCGGACCAAAACTGCCAGACAAAATGGCCACCCCGACCCCTCGTACGCAAATAGTGTAAATATATGGTATATCAAGGTTGTGGACACTCTAGAAGTCACAATTTTGATTCCTGTCGATTTTCGCACATATTGGATTATAACTTCCTGAATTATGGCCCTTGATTGTTCGAAAAATCGTTTTTTGTTTAGCTTGTTCGCTATCCATCTCTTGCAAAATGTGGGCGTATCCTGCCTGGCAGGCGCTGGTTTCTTTTCCTAAACACATTGAAATCAAAAAAAGAAATGATTGAAAGATGAACAATGTAATTTGTATGAAGTGCTATTTCGAAAAGACTTTATTTCATCAGTTTAATGTTTTACGAGTGCATAAATGGGAACTATGCAAGCTTTTAAAGTTAATTTCAGCCCCCAGAGATGCATATATTTATTAATCATTCATATATTCAACTGGGAGATGTAGTCAGTGTAAACAATATGGCGGATCACTCATATCCCTCCACTCAACCACACACGAAAAACGATCTGCGTGGACTCCAGTGTTTTGCTTTTAGATGTTTTCTCCACAAAAAACCCCTCGACGAAAGCACAGGGTGTTAGTTTTTACAAGTAAGTATGAACATTTAATTAAATAGGTTAGGAAAAGCCACATCAAAATCTCGACCAAGCCTATTATTATAGTGTAGTAGGCTACTAGTAGGCCTAATTCTACGCTACCCACTAGTGCAATCGTAATAATTAGTTAAGATTATTTTCTAAACTCAGATTTTTGAAAAATAAATCGAACAAATTGCATTAAAATGGGTTCGTCTGTCTGTCCGTCACACTTTTTGGGACACAATAACTTTAAATAATATTGCATAATGAAGCTTGGGACCAAAAAGGAATGATTTAAAAGAATAACTGAATTCTCTAATCTTAATTATGTATAAACCACAATTTGCTAGACATGCTATGATGTACGTGGTATGAATTAGAATACTATATTCTGAAATGGTGCCTTAAAGATTAACACCAAGTTCTTTATGCAAAGTAGGGCCCTGAATCTAAAGCAGTCTTTTTAATATTCAAAATTTCAATCACAAGGAAATATTGGATTGATAGTGGATGGCAATTGTTAAATCATCCATTTATTTTGTTCCCTTACGCAGATTATGAACACAAAATTTTGAATGTGCATAAATATAATCATTTATTTTATGATCAGCAGTGGAATACCGCGTTTTATCAGTGAAATAAAAGTGTTATTCCACTGGCTAGTTGTTTTTACCTAAAATGATTGTAAAATCATAAAATAAATAGAACATTTGTCGTTTTGTCGTGAATAACATATTTTATTTCGTCTCTAAGCAAGAAAACGTTTATATTTTCACTCTTGCTAGGCATTCGTGAAAATATAAGTTTTCTTGCTTCGCGATGAAATAAAATATGTTATTCACTCTAAAACGACAAATATCCTCTATGTCCACTTATGAAGTCCAGGTCTTCTGTTTTCCAATTTGTAGACAAAAGCTATTTCATCTGACTACATTGCCATATTCAATTATCAGTATTTACGCACAAGTCAGGCTATTCATTGAATTATGTATACCACTGTCACTATAACTTTCTGTATATATATGTCCCAGTCCTGGAAATTATTAGGGTTTCACATAAAAATATAGACTAGAATAGCAATCACGTGACTTTTGACGTCTGGTGACGGGACTGTCAGGCACCATCTTGGAAGGTGTAGTCAGTGTAAACAATATGGCGGATCACTCGTATCCCTCCACTCAACCACACACGAAAAACGATCTGCGTGGACTCCAGTGTTTTGCTTTTAGATGTTTTCTCCACAAAAAAACCCTCGACGAAAGCACAGGGTGTTAGTTTTTACAAGTAAGTATGAACATTTAATTAAATAGGTTAGGAAAAGCCAAATCAAAATCTCGACCAAGCCTATTATTATAGTGTAGTAGGCTACTAGTAGGCCTAATTCTACGCTACCCACTAGTGCAATCGTAATAATTAGTTCAAACTTGGTGTAGGTGTTTATTAGGTCAATGCCTTGATGGAGTTCGAAGATGAGCATTAATTAATATGTCATCTATTTATTTGGGATTTCGGCGGGGGACATCAGCCTCACTGTTGGCTTGTAAACTTTTTTATACGCCCACATTTTCATGTGGACGTATTATGCCGTCGCCCCTGTCCGTCCGGACGTCCGTCCGTCCGGACGTCTGTCCGTCCGTCCACAATTGTTTGTGGACTCTCTACAGGTCACAATTCTTATCCGATTTTGACGAAACTTGAAATATAGGTTTATCCCCAAAAGGTCTCGGCTGCTTTCGATATTGGCATGTATCGGATCGAAACTTCATGGATTACGGCCCCTGATTGTACGAAAAATCACGTTTTTAGCTTGTGGACCCTATAGAGGTCACAATTTTTATACGATTTTTTTGAAATTTGAAATGTAAGTTTATAACCCAAAGATCTCAGTTCCTTTCGATATTCGCGCATATCGGACCGTAACTTCCTGAATTATGGCCCCTGATTGTACGAAAAATCGCGTTTTTAGCTTGTGGACCCTATAGAGGTCATAATTTTTATCCGATTTAAAAAACCGTATTATTATATCACCGTTACACCCTAGGGAAGGTTGAGTTCGAATTTCGTGGAAATCGGCCCAAAATTGACAGCAAAATGGCCGCTGTTCGTTCTCAAATAGCGTAAAAATATGGTATATCAAGGTTGTGGACCCTATAGAGGTCACAATTTTTATCCGATTTTGTTGAAAATTGAAATGTAAGTTTATAACCCAAAGATCTTGGTTCCTTTCGATATTCGAGCATATCGGACTGTAACTTCCTGAATTATGGCCCCTGATTGTACAAAAAATCACGTTTTTAGCTTGTGGACCCTATAGAGGTCATAATTTTTATCCGATTTAAAAAAAAGTATTATTATATC